CCCACATACTTATATTATGGCTGGGGTGATGAGAGCTGAAGTGAAGCATGTGAGAATGATGTTGGTGGCCGTTGCCCCGCCGATACCGCTGCGCCCTGGAAGACCGTCACGGATAGCGGCCGCAGTGGGAGACCACCCCCTGCGCACCCCCCATGGTGTCGAGAATATGCCATGCTTGCTGTGCCCTGGACGACCGTCACGGATAGCGGCCGCGGTGAGAGACCACCCCTTGCGCACCCCCTGCGGTGTCGAGAATACGCCATGCCTGCTGTGCCCTGGACGACCGTCACGGGTAGCGGCCGCGGTGAGAGGCCACCCCCTGCGCACACCCTTATGTTGTCGAGAATATGCCATGCCTGCTGTGCCCTGGACGACCGTCACGGATAGCGGCCGCGGTGAGAGACCACCCCTGCGCACCCCCTATAGTGTCGAGACTATGCCGCGCCTGCTGTGCCCTGGACGACCGTCACGGATAGCGGCCGCGGTGAGAGACCACCCCCTGCGCACCCCCTATGGTGTCGAGAATATGCCATGCCTGCTGTGCCCTGGACGACCGTCACGGATAGCGGCCGCGGTGAGAGACCACCCCCTGCGCACCCCCTATGGTGTCGAGAATATGCCATGCCTGCTGTGCCCTGGACGACCGTCACGGATAGCGGCCGCGGTGAGAGACCACCCCCTGCGCACCCCCTATGGTGTCGAGAATATGCCATGCCTGCTGTGCCCTGGACGACCGTCACGGATAGCGGCCGCGGTGAGAGACCACCCCCTGCGCACCCCCTATGGTGTCGATAATATGCATGCCTGCTGTGCCCTGGGATCACGGATAGCGGCGCGGTGAGAGACCACCCCTGCGCACCCCCTCTGGTGTCGAGAATATGCCATGCCTGCTGTGCCGGACGACCGTCACGGATAGCGGCCGCGGTGAGAGACCACCCCTTGCGCACCCCCTATGGTGTCGAGAATATGCCATGCCTGCTGTGCCCTGGACGACCGTCACGGATAGCGGCCGCGGTGAGAGACCGCCCCCTGCGCACCCCCTGTGGTGTAGAGAATCTGCCATGCCTGCTGTGCCCTGGACGACCGTCACGGATAGCGGCCGCGGTGAGAGAGCACCCTTTGCGCAACCCCTATGGTGTCGAAAATATGCCATGCCTGCTGTGCCTGGGCGGCCGTCACGGATAGCGGCCGTGGTGGGAGACCACCCCCTGCGCACCCCCTGTGGTGTCGAGAATATGCCGCGCCTGCTGTGCCCTGGACGACCGTCACGGATAGCGGCCGCGGTGAGAGACCACCCCTTGCGCACCCCCTATGGTGTCGAGAATGTGCCATGCCTGCTGTGCCCTGGACGACCGTCACGGTAGCGGCCGCGGTGAGAGACCACCCCCTGCGCACCCCCTATGTTGTCGAGAATATGCCATGCCTGCTGTGCCCTGGACGACCGTCACGGATAGCGGCCGCGGTGAGAGACCACCCCCTGCGCACCCCCTATGGTGTCGAGAATATGCCATGCCTGCTGTGCCCTGGACGACCGTCACGGATAGCGGCCGCGGTGAGAGACCACCCCCTGCGCACCCCCTATGGTGTCGAGAATATGCCATGCCTGAGAGACTGTGCCACCCCCCTGGTGTCGAGAATATGCCATGACCGTTGGATAGCGGCCGCGGTGAGAGACCACCCCTTGCGCACCCCCTAGCTGTCGAGAATATGCCATGCGCTGTGCCCTGGACGACCGTCACGGATAGCGGCCGCGGTGAGAGACCACCCCCTGCGCACCCCCTATGGTGTCGAGAATATGCCATGCCTGCTGTGCCCTGGACGACCGTCACGGATAGCGGCCGCGGTGAGAGACCACCCCCTGCGCACCCCCTATGGTGTCGAGAATATGCCATGCCTGCTGTGCCCTGGACGACCGTCACGGATAGCGGCCGCGGTGAGAGACCACCCCCTGCGCACCCCCTATGGTGTCGAGAATATGCCATGCCTGCTGTGCCCTGGACGACCGTCACGGATAGCGGCCGCGGTGAGAGACCACCCCCTGCGCACCCCCTATGGTGTCGAGAATATGCCATGCCTGCTGTGCCCTGGACGACCGTCACGGATAGCGGCCGCGGTGAGAGACCACCCCCTGCGCACCCCCTATGGTGTCGAGAATATGCCATGCCTGCTGTGCCCTGGACGACCGTCACGGATAGCGGCCGCGGTGAGAGACCACCCCCTGCGCACCCCCTATGGTGTCGAGAATATGCCATGCCTGCTGTGCCCTGGACGACCGTCACGGATAGCGGCCGCGGTGAGAGACCACCCCCTGCGCACCCCCTATGGTGTCGAGAATATGCCATGCCTGCTGTGCCCTGGACGACCGTCACGGATAGCGGCCGCGGTGAGAGACCACCCCTGCGCACCCCCTATGGTGTCGAGAATATGCCATGCCTGCTGTGCCCTGGACGACCGTCACGGATAGCGGCCGCGGTGAGAGACCACCCTTTGCGCACCCCCTATGGTGTCGAGAATATGCCATGCCTGCTGTGCCTGGGCGACCGTCACGGATAGCGGCCGTGGTGAGAGACCACCCCCTGCGCACCCCCTATGGTGTCGAGAATATGCCATGCCTGCTGTGCCCTGGACGACCGTCACGGATAGCGGCCGCGGTGAGAGACCACCCCCTGCGCACCCCCTATGGTGTCGAGAATATGCCATGCCTGCTGTGCCCTGGACGACCGTCACGGATAGCGGCCGCCGTGAGAGACCAGCCCCTACGCACCCCCTACGCTGCTGTGCATGTGCTGTGCATGTGCTGTGCTGTGCTGTGCTGTGCTGTGCTGTGCTGCGCTGTGTGAGAAGGAGAGAGAGGGGAGGAGGAGACGCGGGTGAGACGCGGAAAGGAAGAAAACCATAACCCCACGAAGCATGTGGGGAAGAAAACCAGAACCCCACGAAACATGTGGGGAACAACTTCCTAGTATTAGCAAATAGTTGCATGTGTTCTCTGGACGGCTTATAACTCGAGTTGTCACTGCCAAAAGTGTAGTTAACAAAGTCTTAGCATACGCTGTACGTTGGTAACTAAGAGGGGCAATACCCTTGAAACGAAAAAACGTCACGCCAAGGCGAGTTCTTCTTCAACGGAATCGAGTTCAGGTTCGACCAGCTCCACGTCTTCGTCATCGGCGGCCGCGGCCGCCCCCGCCGTGGCCGCACCCGCCGCCGCCGCGGCCGCACCCGCCGCCGCCGCGGCCGCACCCGCCGCCGCCGCCGCGGGGGCTGCTGCCGGCAAGAGAAAAGCTGACCCCGCAATGTTGGCCATTCGCAAGGTCATGGAGCCTGTGTGTAAAAAAGCTCGTTCCATTGTGAAATACTACCACCGCAACGGCTCCGAGTACGACGCCTTGGTTTCAGACGCGGCGTCCCAGACCCTATGCGCACCGATACAACAAGAAAGGCTTCAATGATTCCCGTGTGGGGGGGGGGGGGGCAAGGAGAAGCCGGGGCGGAGCCCGGAGGACCGGGAGGGGAAGGGCGGAGCGGGAGCCGGGAGTGAGGAGGGGAAGGACAGCGGAGAGGGGGCTGTAATGGAAAGGAGGGGGCTGTAATGGAGAGGGCAGCGGAGAGGGGGCTGTAATGGACAGCGGAGAGGAGGACAGCGGAGAGGGGGCTGTAATGGAAAGGAGGGGGCAGCGTGACTGGTGGCGGAAGGGAGAAGGAGAGAGGGGGGGGGGCGGACGGAAGGGGATGGGGCAAGCTAGGTGCGCAAGCGTCTTATCTGACGTCCCACCCGCACTCCCATCCCTTACCTTGGGTAGATCTCCCCTCTATTCGCGCAGTCGGATGTCGCAGCATAGCACAGCATTACATGTCATAACATGGCGTTGAAGATCAACGCGTAGCATGACCTTGCATGGCGTGGCACTGCGTAGTCAAGCACTGCATACCATAGCATTGCAGCTGAAGGTGCAGCATCGCACAGCGGAACACACCATAGCATCGCATTGCATGCCATGGCATGGCAATGGGAATGGAGCCACCGCTGCAGCGGGAGCACGATTCGGAACGAGCAGAAGCGCAGAAATGAGGCCAACGCTGCAGCGGGAACACGATTCGGAACGAGCGGAGGCGCAGACATGGGGCCATCGCTGCAGCAGGAGCACCATTTCGAAGGACCGAAGAGAATCGGATTGTGAAAAACACATCTGAAAACCAAACTCCCAGCAATTCGGTGCAACAGAAAAGCTATACTATACGCGGAGAAGTGCTGGCCATCTTCCGCACAGACTCAGGGGACAGAGGCGCATAGTTCCCCAATCAGAGCTTGCCTCTGTAGGGGTCCTAGCGGATATAAAGCTGAGATGAGGTCGGCGGCCGATTTCGGTGGCCGGGGCCGGGTGCCCGGGTGCCCAGGTGCCCGGGTGCCCAGATGCCCGGGTGACGGGTGCCCGGGTGCCGGGTGCCCGGGTGCCAGGTGCCCTGTAGCCCTATAGCCTTATAGACCTATATCCTTATCGCCCTATAGCCCTATAGCCCTATAGTAGCCTTATAGCCCTATAGCCCAATAGCCCTATAGCCCCAAACAAATTCTGATTGGGGCTTTTCTCCGGTATCATATTCATACTGTGTACTTGTAAATTATAGAGAGGCTGAGGCAGAGAAGGGGCACAACAAATGCCGAGTGCCCGCATGTATGTCTACCGCGTCAGCTGGACAACATCAGCATGCGGCAAGTTTAAGCCTGGTCCATGAACGCGTGGCGTGGCCACCCTAAGGGCCCTCGTACACGCGCGACGGAACTCTGTGCAACTGCTCGCGCAATGCTTCCAGGAAGCCGAACCCGTACGTGTCGTCGGGTTCCAGCACGCTCTGTTCGTTCCACTCGTTCCAGGAGGCAAGAAAATACAGGTTGTCCCACACTTCCCTCGCTGCACCGTTGTGCGCCATCCCGTCGAGCGAGTACTGCACGCCGAGGGCGAAGTCGGACGGCGAAACCTTGAGCTTATCGATGATCGTCATGTTGGGCTTGCGCGGGCGGTTGTCGAACCCGGCGTAGGCCCCCCAGTACTGGACGGCCTGCTCCACCTCGCCGAAGTCTTCCACCGTGGACACGGCCCGCTTGTCGGGCGGCGCCGGAGGCTCGTGGTGCTTCCTCCAGCAGCACTTGTTCGATGCCATCCGCCAGCGTGTCTCCTGTCACGCTGAGGCGTGCTAGAGCACTTCTGGCCAAGCGGGTGTATACCAGAAGCTACTAGGACCAAGCGGGTGTATACCAGAAGCTACTAGAACCCCTCTGGCCAAGCGGGTGTATACCAGAAGCCACTAGGACCACCCGAGACGATCCCAAGGAACGGCGCTACACTCATTCCAGATGTCCCCGAGCGTATCCCCATTCAGGGGAGCGCAGGGGGAGACCCATCAACCCTCAACCCTCACGATGGCCTAACGAAACCTGCAGGATACCTGCAGAAGGGCCCCGAGGCCAAGCAGCACCGAAGCATCACTGCACAGGGCAGTGTTTAATTCATTTTTTTAAAGATGTGTAATACATGCTTACTGTATGAATAAAGTAATGCATAAACTCATCCTTGCATTTATTAATCAACCCTTTATTTTTAATACATGGTCCGCACGCGGAGCATGTATTGAAAACAGCACTGAAATTTAACATAGGTTGCTACGCAGTCTGATCGTCATAAGACAGCTTCATCTGAGCTTCAGGTGGGCACGAAGGCTTCAGAGGGCCCTCCAAGCAAGCTCTGGAGGGCATCAAGAGGGCGGCTCTAAGAGGACAGCGATCTTTTCCAGACGGAGCCAAGATGGTGCTGCCGAGCCTCTTCGGGAAAGCTCGATAGAAATATCGCACCGAAGACGGCCCAAGAACATGCTGCGGGCCTGTGGGGGCTCCCGTGGAAATATTCTGTCATACCGAGCGCGGTCAACTCGGTAGACAGCTCGCGCCCAAGACTGCCCAAGTGAACCCGTACAAAGCGTTGTAGACACGTGTTTGAATCATTGTGAAGGAATGCTGGTACCTACCATAGTGCACCCATGATAGAAAGATCCTGAGACTTCAGCAATTACACGGTGGCGGGATTTGCCGCATGCATCTGGATATAGTGAAATGCCGCATTGAGCATGGGAGTGGTCTCCCATGGCCTCTCGGCGGGCTCTCTGTAGAAATTTCCCACCGTGGCTATGATATGCAAACCTGGTAAACCGTTTTCAACAGCCATCCGTGTCCAAAGCTCCAACATGGGTTCCAACTTCTCTTTCATCAACCCTGGACGGTATATGACGAACGCAGGCTTTCCCTCCACCCGGATATACTTCGGATGCTTGAAAAACTGCACCAAGTAGTTGAAATGCGCAGTCCACTCCTCCTGCTCACCGTACGACTGAGCCAGCATCAACGTGTCTGGAGTATCCTTTCCATCCCAGTGGCGGCTCCATGCCTCGTTTGCCCAGCTAAGCATGAAGGGTGTGTCAGGGTGGCCATCCTGGATGCGGAGCTCCGGGACCTTGTACATGACCTTGTGGCCATCTACGCTGCTGAACCAATAGTGGTAGTACACGAACCCGTGCAGGCCGTAGCTCTGGGCCAACTCCCCCTGCCTCCTCCGCACCTCCACGTCGCGGAGGTCGTAGTACCCCAGCCCCCCTTTCTCGACGCTGAGCGGCTTCCGGATCTGCGGTCCCTCGAACGGCCTCAGCAGCGTCCACTCTGTAAAATTCGTCCCCCAGAACTTGTCGTTCTCGGGGATGGGGTGGTACTGGGGAAAAAACATGGCCATGGGCCTCGGCGCCGGCGGGATCTCAGCCAGCTTCGCGCCGCCTTCTCGCACCATGGTCGGAATCCAGACCTCGACCAGAGACAATTGCGCATCCCTGGCGGTGGCGCCCGTGCTGCCAAACGTGGCCCTCAATCCCGCGATAACCTCGGGGGCGTGCGCGGGGAACGCCGTGAACCGCGTCCAGTAATTGCCGCCGACCGCGGCCACAGAGGACTGATGTGAGGGGGCGTACCTGCCCATGCGGGAGAGGCGCTCCTGGCCGAACAGGCTGGCGCACGTCGTATGGTTCGCGAAGCGGGCGCGTCTGAGAGATGGCATGATGTCGCTCGTCTTCGTTGTGTGGTCCGCCACGGTGCCCAACGGCGCCAGCAGACCTAAGCTGCTGTCCGTGTCGAACTGGCGCAGCACCGAGTGCACCTGTGGGACCACGACGACGGCGACGGCGACGGCGTGGGCGACGACGACGAGGACGACGATGACGACGACGACGACAACGACGACGGCGACAACGACGGCGGCGGCGGCGGCGACGACGACGACGGCCACGACAACTGGCGCAGCACTGAGTGCACCTGCGGGACGGTGCCGCAGAGGGCCTGGGTCGTCCTGTGCCGCACCGCGGGCCCCGCGTCCGTGCCCATGATCAGCACCAGGCCGTACTCTACGCCAGCCGCCTCGGCCTCCTTCAGCTGCAGCGCGAGAAGCTCGGCGCTGGAGCTGCCCTCGGCCGCGCGGAGGCCCACCTTGAAGGGGCCCTGGGACACACATAAATACACACAAACATCAGGATTCTCCATGTTTTGCTATATTTTCTGGGTTTCTAGATCCCCCCCACTTCCCATATTTTCCCATATTTTCCTGGGGATCGACGATTCACTGTGTCTGTGTTTTTTTTCCCCCTCCTGACACCTGGACCCTCGAGGCCGAGAGGGAGTCCGCCAGGCCGCGGGAGGCAGCGGCGCACTCCTGGCTCGCGGCCACCTGTACCGAGGCGCTGCGGCCAACCTCCAGCGCGGCCGCGGCAACGTTGCCCGCGCACTCCGCCAGGGCCTCCTGCCAGGCGCTTCCCTCGCACGTGGCCACCTGGGCGACTCCTCCCCCTCCCCCTCCTCCTCCTCCTCCGCCTCCTCCTCATCCTCCTCCTCCTCTTCCTCCTCCTCCTCCTCCTCCTCCTCCTCCTCCTCCCGCTCCTCCTCCCCCTCCTCCTCCTCCTCCTCCTCTTTCTCCTCCTCCTCCTCCTCTTCCTCCTCCTCTTCCTCCTCCGCCTCCTCCCCCTAAAGAAAAAACTCGGGGGTCCGGAACCGTGTGGTGACAGACCGCGCAGTGACATCGGAATCCCAAGAGAGCACGGCTCGTCACCGCACGGTCTTGGGACCTTGGAGGACCCAATCACCCGAGACCTTCTCGGAAAACGAACCGAGTCCCAAAACCGCTCGGTGACCCCGAATCCCCACTGACTTACAACGCGAGATGGTCACCACACAGTTTGGAAGGCCCTGAGAAACGGGTCCTGAACGCTGGGGCTCTCCCAGGGTCAACCTTCGGCCGAACACGGCGACAAGCATTACGTTATGGGGAGGGAGGGGGGGGGAGGGGGGAGATGGGGGAGCATAACGCGCGTTATGGCCCCGAGGGCATAAAAAACACTCGCCTCCCAGGGTCCATCTTTGAAGCCGCGCTCAGAAGGTGGCGACGAGAACGTTCAGAAACGCGCAGGCGGACCTCCGAATCGACGACGACGTCTTCGTGGCGACTTCCGAGCGGCGGCGCCGCCTGGAGAAGGACCGCGATCTCGGCCGAGCCCCGCGCCGCGTCGCCTAGGGCATTGGGCCAAGGGTCGGCGGCGAGCCCGGGGGATAGGTGAGAAGGGGCGGGCCTCCCCAAAAGGTTCGGAAGCCCCCCGACCTTCTGAGAAACTTTCTGGGTCTTCCCCGAAGACACAAAAAACATATCGGAAGGCCGGAGCGCTCATGAGAAGTCTCGCCGCACTATGCGAAGGCATTCCCCTTCGCACTTCCCCCCTGCGCTCGCCGCCGATCGTCGCCCACATCCCGTGGCCACCAGGTGGGTTTGGCTCCAGACCCCGTGCCCCCGCATGCCCTGGCGGGCGAGAGCAGCTCCCAGACCCCCGACGAAATGATTTTTTCGCTACGTCGACCCCAGAAGTCCCGACCCCTTCCCCATGACCGGCTCTGCATCCCAAGTCGGTTCTTGTCGCTCCCAAGGCCCGGTGAAGGCCTCCGGGGGCCGAAAATTAAGAACAACCTTCCGTCGCGATTTTTCCTCTGCTCGAGGGGGTCTGGGCCGGGAGCGAACTCCTCGGCGCGCGCGCGCGCTCGTCTTCCTCGGCGCGCGCGCACGCCGCGCCGCACGCTGGCCGAGGTCGGGGAGGGCAGCGCGACGCAGCGGCCGCGCAGGGGAGGCGCAGGGCGCACTGGGTGCCCAGCGCACACGCAAGGAAACACACACACACAACACACACAATACGCACCACACACAACACACACGCAAACACGCAAACGCACACACGCACACACGCACGCACAGACACACACACACACACACTTACACACAACACATTTACAAACAACACACAACACACACCATACTCACCACACACACACACCACACACAACACACACAACACACACACACGCACACACACACACGCAAACACACACACGCACGCGCACACACAAACACACGCACACACACGCACACGCACACACGCGCACGCACACACACAAACCTATACACGCACACACACCCCTCACACACACACGCACACGCGCACACACACAAACGCACACTGACACGCACACACACGCACACCTACACACAACACACCTACACACAAGACACGACACACACCATACACACCACATTCAATACACAACACACAGACAACACACTCACACGCAGAAACACACCCAACACAACACACACATGCAACCGCACACAAACGCACACACCACACACACGAACACACACACACACACACGCACACGCACACACGCACACACTTACACACTTACACACAACACATCCACACACAACACACAACACACCACACACAACACACAACACGCATTCGCGCGCACACACACGCACACATGCACACACCCACACAAATGCACACCCACACGCACACACACACACGAACACGCACATGCACACACACACACACGAACACACACGCACACACACACACACACGCACAC